GAAAAAGCATAGGGATGAAACCAATAGGATTCAATAGAAATGTAATGAGGTTCTACAGAAATCAATCCAAAATCCTATCAAATTTGACATTTTCTCAATGTTTTATAAACTATCCTATAGAATTGGATATCTGTAGTATAACTCTCTGTTAAATTCAGTAGAGTAATGCAAACAAAAATACAGAAAAGTGAAAGTTATCTATTGTTTTTCAGGGCAGGGGTGGGCAATAAAATGGTGCAATCCCCCATCCCAGCGCAGGTGCAAGTAAATATGGTAGCATGGGGGCCTGCCAGGGGCTAGCCCTGGCAGACCATATCTGGCCCACATACTAGTATTTGCCCACCCCTGTTCTAGGGGATTCCCATAAGAGAGGTTTTTTTTTAAAAAAAAAAAATCACACACAGAAAATTTTTTGAGCCTTAATAAAGATTCAGTTTGGGTTCAGTTGACTGTCTTACCCGACCACAACATATTTCATGATAAGACTGGTTAAAACTTCAATCCACATTTCTGCTGGCAGAATAATCTATTTGGGGGAAGAATACACCTGCGAAGCAAATCGCGAAGTAACCTAAAATTAAATTATTAGACTTGGTTGCGTTATCACTTCTAGCATTTTTCATCTCTATTATGGCCCACTTTGCAAACTAATACAAATAGCGCCCTGAACAGCGATAGCTGTATCACTAGGCCGGCGGTAGTAATTTCCCATGTGCTATGTAACACCAGGCAGAGATGAAATACCCTGTCTTGTATACTGTATGTTTCTGAGAAAATGGCTTTTTAAATTGTGGGAGCAGCTTTGGTCTCTGTGGAGCTTACATTGTGACTGTTTGCCAGGTGTAATTTCCCCTGGTTAATCAGTAATCAGCCAATGGTAAAAGCAACCATCTTCCTTGTCACAGCTCATATTTCTTTGATTGTCATTTGTGAACGGGGACTAAATCTCCCAGTAACTGCTAGTGAATCAGGCCTGACACTGATACATAATCCACTGCCAGCCGCATGATCAAAGCCCCATTTTCTTACATTGTCTGTGAGCTTTCACTTGGTAGGAGACAGATGGCACTTCAAGAGTTAAAGACTGGCAAAAAGGGAAGCAAAAGGAGATCCTCTTTTAGATAGCTCTCAGACAGGTTTCTTATGTGCATTTTTATGTTTAATAAAAGGACAATGGATTGATGAAATCATATGATCAGAACCAAAAGGCAGAGGACCTGGTTCTCTTCCACACCGTGCGAAGTGGGTGTAATATTCTACTTTTCCAGTTAAGGAGTGTTTTACACCCATTTTCCACAGGTCTAACTGACTCTACAAGGTGCAAGGCAATGGAAAAATCAAGTCTAATTTCTTTGAGAGACGGAAAAAAAACCCAGGAAAGTGTAACTCCAAATCTGCAGAATGCTAAGCTAGTACCATATGCTCTGAGGCAACAAACACAATAGCGTTACTGTAAACTCCCTAGTGCAATCAGTCTCTCTTTTGGTCTAAAACAAAAAAAGGCTTCAGTGCTAGCTTTCTGCATTCAGTTCTTTGGTAATTCAGGAGCACTGGAAGTTCCAAATGTGTGATTATAGAACTCCAGTAAACATAGCCTGATACTGGTCTGGGCAGGGGCTGGGCTACAGAATTGCTCTAAGTTATATCACCTGCAACTAGTAGCTACTGTGGCCAAAGATCTGCTTGAACTTTGGCAGAATTGCACTAAGTTATATCACCTAGCTACTGTGGCCAAAGATCTGCTTGAACTTTGCTCTGAAGCTTCCTATGGTTGGCAGAGGGCATAGACCCAGCTATAAATAGTTAAGTACAATGGAGCCCATCACATTCATGACACAAATATCATTGACATTTGAAATATCAGCATAGACTTTAAGGACTGGAAGGGACTCAAGAGATCTTCTAGTCCAGTGGTTCTCAAACTTTTTGGCTAATGGAAACTCACCGTTAATTACATAATTGCACTGGAGTAATTTTGCTAGTGCTGCAGGTAGGAAGAATGGTTTAATTTAACCACTAAAATGAAATATTCACTTAAATTATTAAACAGACTAAGTGCTTTAATTCTCTCATGTTAGTTGATCAAACTTCAGTTTATATAAAGTAAAACATTCATTTTTGTCTAACACAAAAGTTTTTTATTTTTTTCTTTATTTATGGCTGGGGCGGGGGACCTTTTTTTGGGGGGGGGGGGGGGCACTGATCCACAGAAAAATCAGTTAGGGACCACAAAAGTGAGAAAAAAACCCTCACTCACACCCCCACCCTCACTAATGTGGCCCCCAGCTGAGACCTCACACTCCTTCCTGGGGAGCGGGAGGGAGGACTGAGGTTCACGGCTTCCCATAGTCCAGATTTATTCTTCTGGAGTTCCAGGGGTCAGTGAAATTTGTAGACCCCTTTAGGCTCTGGAGTTGGGACAAAAATGAGGGCTTCAGTGTGTGGGACAAGGCTGCCAGCCAGAGGGATGGGGTGCAGGATCTGGGTGGGAGGTGGGGTACAGGAGGGATTGAGGGTGCAAGGTCTAGGTGGGAGGTGTGGTGCAGGAGGGGGTGAGGGTGAGAGATCTGGATGGGAGGTAAGGTGCGGAGCAGGCTGGTATTAGGGTGTCTGGCCAGGGGGAAAGAGCAAGAGCAAGGGAAGGTGCAGTGAGAGAGACCAGGAGGGAGGATACAGGAGCAAGGATGGGTGTAGGAACAGGCTACAGACAGGGTTTCTGTCCAGGGTGGAGGGTGCAGGATCAGGCAGCGGGTCTCAGTGGGTTTGTGTGAGAAGGCTGGGAGTTTGGGGGTCTGGGCCTGAGGGGGAACTTGCTTTCATGCCCTGCACCACTCCAGGCACAGCCTCTTGCTACTCCTATTGGCTGCATTCCAGACAATGGGAACATCGGGGAAAGCCTCCAGGCAGCGAGCACACCCACGTGCTGCTATTTCCTCAACGGGGAGGGGGAGAGCTTCTTCACCAAAAGCAGATCGTGCAGCAAGGCTCGGGGATTTCTCTTCCCTCCCCAAATGGAAAGCCGGTGATGACACTCCAACCTCGCGGGGGAAGTGGGGAGGAGTGGGAGGCTGGAGCACCAGCGTGGGCTCCCCACTGTGAGGGAAAGGTGGGGATTGAACTCAAGCCGCAGACCATTTGAAAGGTGGCCATGGCCCACTAGTTTGAGAACCACTGTTCTTGTCTAGTCACCGGTACTCATGACAGGACCATCTAGACCTTTCATGACTGATATTTGTCTAAGGGTGTGTCTAGACTACCTAGTTTTGTCGACAAAAGTCCACTTTTGTCGACAAAACTATACCAGCGTCTACACTACCGCTGAGTTCTGTCGACATAACGTCAACAGAACTCAGCAGTTTTGTCGATGCTGGTATACCTCATTTTACGAGGCATAACACCTTCTGTCGACAGAACTCTGTTGACAGAAGGTGTTATTGCCTGTAACGTTGCGTCCAGACTACGGAGTTCTGTCGACAAAGCAGCTTGCTTTGTCGACAGAAATCAATGTGTCTGGACGCTCTTTGTCGACGGAAGTTTTGTCGACATTATCTGTCGACAAAACTTCCGTCGACAAAACGCGGTAGTCTAGACATACCCTAACTTGTTCTTAAATCTCCAACGATGGAGATTCCACAGCTTCCCTAGGCAATTTATTGTTTTGCTTAACTACCATGACAGATAGGAATTGCCCTTCCTGCAGTATAAGACCATTGCTTCTTGTCATACCTTCACAGATTAAGAAAATGTTTCTCCCTCCTCTCTGTAAAAATCTCGTAGAGTGATGCTTGAAAACTGTTATATCCCCTCTCAGTCTTCCCTTTTCCAGACTAAACAAACCCACGTTTTCCAATCTTCCTTCGTAGGTTGTACTTTCTAGACCTTTAATGACTTTTGTTGATCTTCGGAGTTAATTCAATTTGTCCACCTCTTTCCTGAAATGTGTCACCCAGAACTGGACATAACACTCCACTTGAAGCCTAATCAATACTGAGTAAAACAGCTTCATGTGTCTTGCTGACAACATCCCTGCTAATACATACTCCTACAGTGCAGTCGTTTTTCTGCTGTAACTATGCTAAGAGATGGTCCCTAGCAACAGGAAGCATCAAAACTCACAACATGTTGCATTTGAAGGTGGAGATGGGGCTGTAAAATACAGAAGAGATAATCTTCATTACATAGCATCTTTCACAAGACCATGGGAGAGACAGCACAGTTGGTAGCATTTGCTAAAGTTACTTGCAGAGGGCAAAACAGCACAGGGTTTCTTGTTGCCGTCTGTGACTAACAGACTTGCCGTAATTAAAAAAATTAGAAAGAAATGAGATATATCAAATATATCAAGATACATCATGTATCAAGCTGTAACAGAAGATCAATGGAGTCCATTCCACTCTCCAGGTCAAATCATCCCAATGTATCTCCTCTTCTTCCACACTTTTCTGTAACTGCTAGTTATTATGGTCAGCCTTTCTTACATAAGCAAATGCTTGTTCCAGAAACAATATTCTAATACACAATTTTAGTATTGTGACATCTACCAAGCCTAGTACCAGGTTATTGTGTGGAGGGCTAAAATTGTTTTTTTCAGGAACACCAGAACCTGAATAATATGCCAGCTGCCAAACTCGTAACATGGTTTACAGCTTTCTGCACCAGTGTTTTGGTATGTGGGAGGAACTTAACTTTCTTTCTTGTATTGGGTTTCCTCATGTTTCTTCACTGCCTTGTTTCTCTGTTTATTGGGCTCACTAATACTTTCCTAGTGTTGTGAGGAGAAAGGAGTTAATATTTGCAGTGGGGGTCTCTGGAAGATAGACACAACATATCATTTCATTTCTGTCTATGTCCTTACAGGACTCTAATGAGAACAAAATTACCCAGTTTCTGCTCTGAGAAAATGAGGTATAATTTTAGTGTAACCATAGAGTTTGAAAGAAAAATAAATCTAAATTAAGTTGGTTTCAGCTTATTTTTCCGTCTATTTGCTTTTCCTGTAGGTATGAACAACCTAAGTGTGATAACAGTGCCAGAGCTCATCCAACCAAAACAAAGGATTTGTACAAGGGCCGCCAACTTCAAGGTCAGTGTAATAGATGAGTATTGCAGCACATTTTTCAGTGTCATTTAACCATTGCGATAACTAGGAGGAGTTTCTTGCTCTAAAATAAATAATGCCGGGATGGTGCTACATTGGCCTGTCATTGACTGAAACTGAAGAATGGAGTTTTGAATTTAGATAGCTGTAGATAAAGGGTGTAGACCCGTGGTTCCCAACCTTTTCCAGATGGGGACCCATTTTGACAATTCAGGGCAATTAAAATAATTTGTGAATGGCTTCTTAGGAGCCCCCTGGGGAAACACCTGGTGGCCCTTTTGAAATGTAATGGTGACCCATATTTGGGTCCCAACTCATAGCTTGCGATGCCTTGGTGTAGACATATTGTGAGATGCTGTGAGATTTTCTTGGTCAGGCTCTGATTTTGCTGACACTGACATCAGTACAATTCAGGATCAGGCCTTTTATTATAGTTGTGTAACATTGGGTCTACAAAATAGGATCTGTGATATCAGCTGCTGTTAAAGGAAATTATGGACCACTCAAAAGTAGGAGAATAAGAAAAAGCAAATAGTTTGGAATTTGTTTTTGTCAGTGCTGTGGGAAATGTCTCCCTTCACCTTTAGGGAAATTTCTAAACATTTATGCTGAACTAAAAATGCTATGAAGTTCATCTTCATTAAAGTGTGCATTAAAACTACCTGTTTAGAAAACAAATGTACTTACAAAGAATAACTTCAAAAGAAATAGAATCAACAAATGCAAACTATATCTAGTCAGACTATAAGTAATTACATGTTATGTCCATTATGGAAGAAAGTATAATGTATACTCATTGAAAACATGAATGGCATCTCTCATCCCTAAGATAAAACCCTTATGTTGGACTGAAATTTATGCCTGTAGTATGAATTTCATGGCTCCTTGCAAACATCCCTGTTCTGTTTCATTATGAAAATGGGCATGCAGTGTTTAAGTGTTCTATGGGAACATCTAAATGCCAACATAGAATAAACATTGAAATTCAGCACAAGGCCCTCAAATAGGGCTTAACTGGGTCTCATATGGTGAACAGGTCATGGGCTAACCTGCTTCACAGTGGTGAATTTCATCAGCAGTGCCAATAGTTACACCAGGAATCACTTTGACCCATAACTCAGTAGCCTGCTCCTTGAAGCTTACAGGAGACAGGCCATTGACATCATTGAGGGCCAGGACACCATGACTCCAGTATTTTAATGACTTCCAAGAAACTAAATGTGAAGTAACGCCATTCTCTGACCCTTCTCTACTTGTAGTTGGAAAATCTGAATAGTTTGTACAAAGTCTGCATACTGTATCCATGTGTAAAGAATATATTTCTGGATAGCTCAGCTGAAGAAACAGATTTATATTTGGTTCCGAGTATAGAGGCCTTTTGTCATACAGATCTCTGGCAAAAATCTTTGAAGAAACATGAGAAAGAGAGAGAGAGAGAGAGAGAGAGAGAGAGAGAGATGGGGGAGGGGGATAAAGCCAGTAAGTCAGTTCTCTCACTTCTCTTTACCTAAACTGGCAGTGTATTTGTGCAGTGCAAAAATGAAGATTTGACCAAAGACAGGGACTTCCTGCAGTGAGAGCTTTCCATGCTATAAGCTCCTACCTGGTAATTTCATTTTGGTTTAGTAGGCAATGAGCTTTGATGCTTTCCCTCCACCCCACAGTATTTTGCATTCTGTCAGCTTTAACCACACAAACTGCTGCTGCAGCGTGAACTCATAACTACAGTGAATCCTACGTGCCATGGATTCAGTTGCCTATATTTATGTTGCTTACCCTTAAATAACCTTTGACTTCCAAGTGCTCCATACTATTTTAATCTAAGGCAGGTAGCTCTGGTTAAGTCAGTATAACTACTCACACTGTAAAGATAGCAAGATTTTTAAAAGCTGCTTTGCTGTTGATTATTTCTCTACTTCAGTTAGGAAAGATTGGCCATATCCTCAGAGGGAATAAATAAGGAGAGCGCCATTCACTTCAGCGGAGCTATGTGGATTTACACCAGCTGTCAAATATGTTTAGATTTTTTTTTAAATCAATTTGTAAATATTAATCACTTTTTACAGTGGCAAAATTTCAAGGGCAAGGCATGAAATCTTGATTTAATTGAAGTTGGTAGCAAAATTCCCACTGACTTCAAGGGGACCAAGATATCACTCAACACCCTAAGTGTTGCACTAGAGAATCCCACATTTCTATATGCTCATGAAACACTTATTTGAATGATTCATACATCCTGTATCTTTACAATTGGCCTGGAAATGACATGAGAATATTCCCTCTCATTAGAGTTCTGGAACTTGTTTGATTTCCTGGTTGTTTTTCCTTAAGAAATTTCTGCTTGAGTGTCCTAATTTTGGTCAAGACCAGAAAGATGCATGAAAATGAACCCCAGATACATTTTGTTAATTTGGAAGAACTTCTTCCAACTCACTGAAAGACATTAAATCATACCATGTAGCTGCCTCTCCTCCTGCCCTCTTTTTGCCTTCCCCTCCAAATCCCCGCAGGTTTCCGGGTTTCCAACACTTTATTCTATGGAACAGAAGGCAATATCTGGGGCAGTATTTTACTACCCATGATGAATGTGTGCGTTCTTTTTGGACAATTCTTAAGTTCTAAATATATTGTGGCTACTTTAAGGACTCAGGGTTTCTAACAAAGACCATCCACTGCGAGCTGTTAAATGGGTACAAAATGAAGCTTAGCCAAGGCCATGTGTATTGTGATGGAAGGAGCAGAAATACTTTTGATAATCTGTTACAAAGGTTTAATGGTCTGTCCTGTACTTCTGAGAATCTTGCTCTTTGGAGGCTATAAAACAAAATTAGGCAAACTGTGGAAATGCCAAACAATCAGTTTTTGTAACTGTTACTCTTGCAGATTGTAAGTAAGTATGGAGAATTTCAAGATTTTGTTCCCTCTTATGCATGGATTGAAAAACACTAGAAAGGAAAGACTTGTACTGGGGTTATCACAGACTGACTAGGCATATGACAGAATAAGGCTGATAGTATCTGGAACCAGGGCTTCAAGTTAATTTCAAACTTTCCTAAAAGAACATCTGTCTTTACATTACATTGAGCTAATGCCAGATCGCTGCAGGTAGCTAGCTGTTAAGGGCCTAGTTCTATTATCCTTTCACTTGCTGAGAATTTATACTAAGTATACTCCCATGGAACACAATAGCATTATTCTTAAAATTGGTACTGGGTGAGAATAGCAACAGTGGAGTAATAAAGCCCATTGCGAGTAATAAAGAAACTCTGTATCTTCTGTGTACAATTTTATAAGAGTGATAGAAATGTAGCCGTGTTAGTCTGGTGTAGCTGAAGCAAAATACAGGACTATGTAGCACTTTAAAGACTAACAAGATGGTTTATTAGATGATGAGCTTTCGTGGGCCAGACCCACTTCCTCAGATCAAATAGTGGAAGAAAATAGTCACAACCATATATACCAAAGGATACAATTTAAAAAATATGAACACATATGAAACTTTTATAAGATGTATTATAGTTTCATCCAGGAATGTTCTGCCTTTCAATAACTTGTATTGATAACACAGAACTGGAAGGAACCTCCTAGCTCACTGAGTACAGTCCCCTGCTATCACAGGCAACTCCATTGTAGAATCCCATTCATAAACTTATCAAACTCATTTACAAGTAAAACTTAAAAAACAACAAATACTCTAGTAGGTTTTGTGCCCACAAAAGTTCACACCATCTACATGTTTTGTTAGTCTTTAAAGTGCTACTAGATTATTTGTTGTTTTTAAAGTTTTTCCTGTTACAGACTAACTCGGCTACCCCTCTGAAGCTTTTACAAGTAGTTAGGCTGTTTGCCTCCACTATTCCTACTGAAAGTTGATTTCAGAATCTCACTCCTCTGATGATTAGAAGCCTTCTTCTGATTTCCTGCCTAAGTTTATTCATGGTCTTTTTATATCTATTTGTTCTTGTGACAACATTTTCCTTTAGCTTAAGGATCATTTCTTCCTTTATATCTATTTTCCTTTAGCTTAAGGATCATTTCTTCCTCCAAGATATTTGTCATTACATATCCCCAAAGCCTTTAGGTACAAAAGCTCCAATGTAAAAAGTTAATATTTCAGTCTAATAATGAAAGAAAAAATATGATAACCCACAGAGATGTGTTAACTTGCAACTCATTCAGGAAGTTTTCCTTGGGTGATTTTATGAGCAAGTGCACGGAAGACCTATTTCCAGAGTGTTTATCACAATGTCATAGGAGTTGCAGGGGTGACCGCATTTATCATTTATTGGAGCAGCTGGGGGAATGATTTGAGCAGTAATGCACTGCTATCCAAAAAGTCATGTGGCAGACTGCAGTATCAAATATTCTGGGCTTTCAAAGTTGGCAGATGTGTGACATTACAGCTGAGTGTTGCAATAGGAAAGGAGTATTTAATATGCTCGTTGCCAAAATGTGAGTGGCAGAAGCCTTTTGTACAGAACTCAGACTTGAAATGCTGTAGTTTTGCCTATCTGCCAGTCTCAACACAAAGTCAAGTTTGATCTTGAACATGCTGTTCACACTCCAAATCTTCATATGGGCTTAGGGAGGACAAAGTGTGAATAGTCCTTGTTTTGGTCCCCTGTATAGGACTGAATGTCAACGTAAGTGAACACATGCTAACTTGAAATAATACATAATGGTATGGAAGATGCTTCTGAACATAGCTAATTGAACATTTTCCAGCAACACTTTCTTTTGTTGCAAGATTGGGTCTGACTTTTTCCTCTGTCCACAAAAAGCATCTGCTTTCTGTGGAATTTTATTTTTTTACTCATTATTGACACCTGAAAACTAACAAGCAAGAAGGTGCAGCATGAAAGATTTTGTGGTGAGGATTACATTTCCTAGCTAGAAGTATGATTATCTTGCAAAGGAAAAATGAAGATGCACGTAGACACGAACTAGCCTGGATTTTCACTTAGCTCTTATTTTCCGTGGTTTTG